TACATACCATTAAAGCCATAACACAGCCAGTCACTCGTTCTGGACGTCGATGAAGTTCAATTGAATTCATTAATGTGGACTTGATGGTTTCTGCCCAATCATATTGCCTCATCTTCTCCAAATGCTCCATGTGTTGATAGTATGCCCATCCACTTGTCTCACCAGTTGTGGAATAAAAGAGCTTTAAACAAGCATACAAACTTATCAACCTAACAACCTCCTCATTATCTAATTTCTTTCTCCTAACCAATGCCTCATCGATCAAAGATCATATATTTTTTGATGTAAGCCTCTGTGTGTCCTTGCACTTCTTGCTAATAAGTCCAAATGTTGGCTTCGAACCATATGAAGTTTCCATTGGCACAGATCCGTAGTTTACTCCAAAAATTAATTTGATGTCATGTGTAGACAATTTGAGAGATTTGGGAAATTTTGAAAGAATTTGATGCAAAGTTGTACATATTTCATGCATGATAAGAGTTCAATTTTTGTGTTTATCAGTGCATTAAACATCATCCAAAATGAAGTTATCTTCAAACATTTCAGCTGCCCATTAGTGAACTTCGTTGTTGACATCAACTTTACCAGACCGGTCATGTTTGAACGGTAGTTCACTTTGTTCATATCGACATTAGGTTTCACATCAGTTGGAGCTACCTCTTCCTCATGTGTTTGTTCGTTTTTTATTTTTGTCTTTGGTATTGATATAACATCTGTCAACAAAATGTTAAACAAAAATAGAGACAAGACATTAAGAGGAATGAGTAATTAACACTGCTATTAAAATAAAGTATTGATGAGTACCAAATTTCATAACATCACTCATAGATAATATGTAAAGAATCAGAGAATATGACAGCATCTAAAAATCATACGAATTTGTTGTTTGGAACCTTGTATATTGACAATGGAAAGATGTATAATTGAGAACAATTAGAACATTATTCGAAACGACAATGGCAACATTGGAATCTTCTCATGACCATTTATTGAACATGAATATTGAAATCTCAACAATATGACTCAACATAATCAATACAACATGTAAAACAAACTCCAAATATTCACAATGAGAAAATTTATACTTCAAACATGAACGTTAACAATAGAATCTTGACAATGTGACCATTCATTCAACATAATCGATGTGACGTAAAACATCGACTCCAAATACTAATAACGAAGGACATTATTTGAATCAATATATAATGCGAATTTTGGAATGCCAATTCAACATAATCGATGTAACAATGAAAATAGACTCCAATCATTTACAATATGAAGATTCATACTTGAAACACGAATATCAACGATGGAATATCAATAATGTGACTCAACATAATTAATATAACATAAATAACAAACTCTAAACATTCAAAATGAGAAGATTCATACTTCAAACACGAATGTCAATGATGGAATCTCGACAATGTGACCATTCACTCAATATAATCAATGTGACGTGAAAAATAGACTCCAAATACTAAAAATGAGAAAATTCCTACTGAAAAACAATTAGCACATTATTTTAAATGAAAAATGTGAATATTGAAATATCAACTTTATGATTGAACATTTTCAATGTAAGATGAAAATTAGACTCCAAACATTCAAAATGGGAAGGTTTATACTTCAAACATGAATGTCAAAACAAAACCTTGACAATGTGACTCAACATAATCAATGTAACATGAAAAACAAACTTCAAACATTCACAATGAGAATATTCATACTTCAAACACAAATGTCAGCAATGTGACAATTCACTCAACATAAACAATGAAATGTTAAAACAAATTCCAAACACTAACAATGGTGTTTTGAGTCTATTGTAGGCCCCGTTTGGTAGAGCTGTGGGAAAGTGATTATAACTTATAGCCTAACAGCTTATAGCTTATAACTGTGAACATAAGCTGATTTTTGACTTATAAATTAAGCTTCTCCTCCCTCACTTAAAGAATAAGTTGATTTTTTACTTACAAAAAGCAATAAGCTGTATTGTTAAGATGAACCAAACACATCAAAATAGTTTAAATTAAGCTAAAAGCTGAAATAATGTGACGTGAACAACAGACTCCAAATATTAACAATGAGAAAATTCCTACTAAAAAATAATTAGCATATTACTTTAAATGAAAAATGTTAATATTGGAATATCAACTGTATGATTAAACATTTTCAATATAAGATGAAAATTAGACTCCAAACATTCGCAATGGGAAGGTTTATACTTCAAACATGAATGTCAAAACAAAACCTTGACAACGTGACTCAACATAATCAATGTAACATGGAAAAGAAACTCCAAACATTCACAATGAGAATATTCATACTTCAAACACAAATGCAACAATTCACTCAACATAATCAATGAAATGTTAAAACAAATTCCAAACACTAACAATGGTGTTTTGAGTCTATTGGAATCTTAACAATATGGCTCAACATAATCAATGTAACAATGAAAATAGACTCCAATCATTTACAATGTGAAGATTCATACTTGAAACACGAATATCACTGATGGAATATCGATAATGTGACTTAACATAATCAATATAACATGGATAACAAACTCTAAACATTCACAATGAGAAGATTCATAATTCAAACACGAATGTCAACAATGGAATCTTGACAATGTGACCATTGACTCAACATAATCAATGTGACGTAAAAAATAGGCTCCAAATACTAACGATGTGAAAATTCCTACTCAAAAACAATTAGCACATTAATTGAATGAAAAATATGAATACTGGAATATCAACTATATGATTGAACATTTTTAATGTAAGATGAAAATTAGACCTCAAATATTCACAATGGAAAGGTTTATACTTCAAACAAGAATGTCAAAACAAAACCTTGAGAATGTGACTCAACATAATCAATGTAATATAGAAAATAAACTCCAAACATTTACAATGAGAAGATTCATACTTCAAACACAAATGTCAACAATGTGACAATTCAGTCAACATAATCAATGAAATGTCAAAACAAATTCCAAACACTAGCAATGGTGTTTTGAGTCTATTGAAATCTCAACAATATGGCTCAACATAATCGATGTAGCAATGAAAATAGACTCCAATCATTTAAAATGTGAAGATTCATACTTGAAACACAAATGTCAACAATGGAATATCAATAGTGTGACTTAGCATAATCAATATAACATGGATAACAAACTCTAAACATTCACAATGAGAAGATTCATAGTTCAAACACAATTGTCAACGATGGAATATTAATAATGTGACTCAACATAATCAATATAATATAGAAAACAGAATTCAAACATTCACAATGAGAAAATTAATTCTTGAAACATGAATCAAAACATTCGTAAAATCAGAAATTTGTAATTCATAAATTACAAACCCTAAATATTGAGTCCCTAAACACTAAAGCTGACAAACAGAGCATTCATAAATATTTACAGTTGGAATGTAAATATTTTCATTTACTTATACCAATATGACATGAAAAACAAAGCATTCATAAAGAAAAAATTTCTAATCTGTAAATTTCAATGGCTAAATGTGGAATCAATAAACATTAAACCTCAAACATTGAAATGTAAATATTCAAATTTAGTGATTTTAATGAAAGAATATGAAATAGTGGATTTAATTTCAAAAAATAGTATGAAATTGAAGAAAACAACTTACTTGTGTTCACCATTGTGGATATCGATTGGAATAACGATCTCAATTCCCAGAATGAACTGTTATTGGCGATCTCAATTGCTGGAATGGATTGTTCATAGCGATCTATGTTGTCGGAATGAACAATTCTTGGCGATTTTTGTTGCCTGCATGAACAGTACTTGCCGATCGTAGAGTTTCGATCGAAGAAGGAGTTCAATGTTAGGGTTCTGATTTTGGGAAAACACAAAATTGTAGAGTTTTTGGTTAGTGTTTCAAAGAAAAAAGGCACCTATGATATGAACATAAGGGTAATATCATCTTTTTATCAAGGACAGGACTAAATGGAATATTAGAATAAATTTTGGACTAATTAGAACATAAGTAATTAAAGTAGGATTTATGTAAAAAGCTCCCATATATATAGTGGGTGTTTGGGAAATGAATTTTTTTTGTAGGTTTTTTTAATTGTAGGATATTATTGGAGAAAAAGTTTTTTGTGTTTGGGAAGATAGTTAGGTTTTTTTGTGGTTGGATGTGATGTTTGTGAGAGAAAAAGTGAAATGATTATGGGATTTGATGTAATATTTTGTTTAGATTTGTTTTTTTTTTATTTTGTAAAATATTTGTCTTGTAGTGAAAAAAAACAAAAAAAAAATCAAAAATTTTTTTTTCTCAAACACCGCCATAGAGAGAGGAGGGGGTAAAAGACAAAAAAGTGATACTAATTATATGATATTATTGTTGTAATAAATTATTTTTTTTAATTTTAAAAAATAAATTATTCACTGTAATTTTGAAAATTATAAATATTCTATTATCAAAAATGTTTATTTAACAAAATTAATATAAAAAATAAAATTTCTAATTATTTTTTTATACAACAATAAAATTACTTTAATGAAAGGAAAACACTATAAAAGTGTATATCATATTCATTTTATAACTAAAGAGTAAAATGATATAATTTCATATTTTTTTAATTATAATGAAAGGAAAAAGAAAAAAAAATCAAATCATAACACAAAATAAGATATAACATACTGCTTTAAAATAATATGATAACTAAACCAGAAAATCAAATAAAGGAACACTCTGGGTGTGTTTGGTAAAACGTTTTCAGTTTATATTTATAAAAATTTTATAAATTGGTTTTTGTTTATCTTTTGTCTATTTTTAGAAAAACATAAACTACAAACGCGATTGGTAATTGACAAAATGTTTTAAAAAATTTAAAAATATAAAAAAGAGTGAAAAATAGCAAGTGGCGGCAAGTGGCGGCGGAAAACGGTAGTGGAAAGTGGTGACGGTGGGTGGTGAAAATAATATGATAACTAAACCAGAAAATCAAATAAAGGAACACTCTCCATCCAGGATGGGATAACCAAAGAAACAGAGAGCCCAAATGCAGCAAACAAGGCAGCGGCACCGGGTAGTCCTCCTCCCGCTGCCATTGCAAGGCCACATAAACCCTATGCTTCAGCTCGCAAACATCCTTCACTCCCATGGCTTCTCCATAACAATCATCCTCCACACCAGCTTTCCCTCTCCCAACCCTTCCAACTACCCTCACTTCACCTTCCTCTCCTTCCCCGACGGCTTGTCCCAATCCGAAGCCTCCACAACCGACCTCTTATCTCTCATTCTACTCCTCAATCTCAGATGCATAAACCCATTTCGAGATTGTCTTGTTCGCTTGATTTCCGATGCTGAAGAGGAAGATCCTGTTGCTTGCTTGATCTCCGATGCTATCTTGCACTTCGCTGGACCCGTAGCTGATTGCCGCAAACTGTCCAGGCTTGTGTTGCGGACCGGCGGTGTGTCTTCGTACGCTGCTTTTGCGGCTTTTCCAACTTTGTTCGAAAAGGGTTACTTCCCAGTTCAAGGTGTGTTTTTTTTTTTTCTTTTTCTTCTTCTTCTTCTCTGGATCTGTTGCTCTGTTTTTAGATCTGCTCTGTTTTTAGCTAAGATGGTTGTGAATAATATATAGATTTTGTTGTTTTAGATAACTAACATGAAGCAGAGTGACTTGAAGAGTTCAACCATAAGTGGAAGAAAATGTCTAAACTGGTGATAGTTTTTTTGGGGGGAAAATGTCACTTCAGTGGATTTTGGGGAAAATATTTGCATATTAGCGGAGAACTTTGCAACATTCAAAGATAAATTTATAAACTTTTTTCATCAAATTGATATTATTTTTTAAAATTTCCACTGAAATGCTTTTTTTTTTTTAAGGTTAAGACCTTTGATTATGATTTGATTAACTAACTGTTCATTAGTGTAACTTGTGTGTAGTTTCTGAAATGGTGACAACACCCTTTGTTGAACAACATAGCTTGTTGTGGCCAAGCTAGAATCTAGGCCAAATCCGAAACCCAAATCTCGCACTGATTTGTTTGGAAAAGATTGTTAACAAGTGTTGGTGAATATTACAAGAAATCATCAGTAAATATTGAAAAGTTACAATATAGATGAAATATTTAGAACAAACAAATTGAGTTGAGATATTCAAACCCTTCCGGTTGATAAAACTAAGAAACTGGTGCAGGAGCATTTATCTTTTGGCTTGTCCTAATTCAACTGCTTTTCTCTACCAAATATTTATCTTGTTTTTCAAACTTGAAGACATTTTTTCTTTCCTTCAATAAAACTCATTGTATACCTTTCTTCAATTGTTTTACACCATATGCTCAAAAACAGAACAAAAAAAGGATGAGGTGAATCACAACATTGATGAAATACATATCATACAAATTAATATTTAAAATATCATAATATCTAACAAGAAGTAATCATAAACATAATCACTTAAATTCTTCCAATTTTTTCTATGCAATTTTATTTTTTGGGGACTGAAATCTGCTTAATTTGTGTGTTTAGATTCCAGGCTGGAAGAGCCAATTTCGGAGCTGCCTCCCCTCAGAGTCAAAGACCTACCGGTGATCAAGACATCCAACTTCGACTCATATTATCAATTTCTAACAGACATGGTCAGACAAAACAAGGCTTCTTCGGGGCTCATTTTTAACTCCTTTGAAGAACTTGAACAACCTGCACTCGCCACTCTTTGCCCAGACTTCCACATCCCAATCTTCCCAATTGGCCCTTTTCACCGCTACTTCCCTGCTTCTTCTAGTAGCTTACTAACACACGACGAAACCTCCATTCCCTGGCTCAAAACACAAGCCCCAAAATCTGTTCTTTACGTGAGCATTGGTAGTATCGCGGCAATGGATGAAAAGGAATTTTTGGAGGCAGCTTGGGGGCTAGCTAATAGCAAGCAACCTTTCTTGTGGGTTGTTAGGCCCGGGTCAGTGCGTGGTCGGAAGTGGCTTGAATCGTTGCCGAATGGGTTCATAGAGATGTTGGGCGGAAGGGGACATATTGTCAATTGGGCCCCTCAGCAGGACGTGCTGGCACATCCTGCTGTGGGGGCATTTTGGACTCATAATGGATGGAATTCAACGTTGGAGAGTATTTGTGAAGGGGTTCCGATGATTTGCATGCCTCGCTTCACTGATCAACTTGTGAATGCGAGGTATGTAAGCCATGTTTGGGGGGTTGGTGTGCAATTGGAGAATGGGTTGGAGAGAGGGGACATTGAGAGAGCCATTAGAGGACTGATGGTGGAGAAAGAGGGGAAGGAGATAAGAGAGAGAATGCTACATTTGAAGGAGAAAGTGAATCTTTGTGTGATGCAAGGTGGGTCTTCACATGAATCTCTACAGAGATTAATTAGCCATATCTCATCATTCTGATTTTCATTGTCTCGTACTCAAGAAATCCTTATTTGATGAGCATTGGTGATGGATGATTGTTATTGTGGGTTGTTTTAGGAAGTTGATAAAAAGTTGACTTTTGACTTTTTATCAAATTTTTTGACTTTTTTAGAAGTGATTTAGGAAGTTAGTAAAAAGTTGACTTTTTGCTTTTTAGTTTAATATTTATTTATGGTATCAAATCAAATTAAAATGACCAAAATATCCTTACCCAACATAAGAGATTTATTTTTTTATTTTTTTTTCATAGGTCCTAATTTGTAATTTTAGGGCTGCGTTTTTGGCACTTTCCAAAGGGATTTTGTTGCGTTTTTTGCAGCCACGTTTTTGGACATTTTGTCAAAAAATGTGACTTTTTACTATGTTCCCAAAATGGCACTGTTTGGTTTTATTACTTTTTTCAAAATTTTTATAGCCACAGTTTGGAATGTACACAGGCTAGCTAAATAATTAAGGTTGGATTTGGCAAATTTTTTTTTTAGTTTTTTAGAACAAATTTATTGCACAAAAACCAAGTTTTTTTTTTTTATTGGGAAAGTTTAGGATTGATGTGTGTGTGTGTGTGTATTTTTTTTTAAATCTTTAGAAATTGTTTTAGATTATTTCAAAATAAAAAAAAAAAAGTTCGTAGAAAAATTTAATGCAAAAAATTTTAAATTTACTAAAAACCAAAAGGTAAAGAAAAAATGTGTTATTTTTGGTAGTTGTCAAAACTATATTCAAATGTATTATTTTTAATAGTTGCCAAACAAAGACAAATCTTGTTAAAAACAATATTTTTTCATAATTGTCATCTAAACAAGTTGTAGCCAACCATTACATTTTACTAGCAACCGTTAAATATATTTTTGAACATTTTTTAAAAATATTTTTTGAGACTATAGAACTCTAATGTGTAAAAAATAAATTAGATATACGAAATAGAGTGTGAGCAAGAGAAATGTCATTGTCTCATGAACCTTGGTGGCAAAGGATAATAGAAAAGATCTCGGAGATTGAACTTGATGTGTCGGATATATTTGATTTGTACAATTTAAATTCTAAATAAATTTCTAAACATTTTTTTTTTTTTGAATTTATAACATGACTACATTAATAATTCTAGAAAGTACAAATGTTCTACCCCAAATTGTACTAGAATTTCAATTTGTTAGTCATAACAATGTGATGTTAAAAGCCAAGAAAAAACTAATACCAGTGTAATTCTTTTCTACATTAATTATATTTATTTGTCATACTTTATTTATCATTGTATTGTATTAGGTTAATGATCCCAGAATTAGTTCCCTAAAAAACCTTTTAAGCAAGCTACCTCCTAAGAAGATGTTCAAGGGCACAACTTGCTCTACCTAAATATTTTTAAAGGTACAATTTATTCCTCGAAAGATTAAGGCCTTGTTTGGTTTGTATTTGAGAAACATGTTTTAAGATAAAAAGTACGAAAATTTGTTTGATTTGATTTTTTTTCAAAAGATGTTTTGAAAAATTATTTTGAGAGAGAGTTTGGAAAAAGTGATTGATTTGATGTGTATGACAAAAAGATTTGTTTGGAAAATTTGTAAACCAAATAAGTTTTGGAAAATTTTGTTTGGTTTAATTACTTTTGAAAACTTATTTGTAGAAAATTTTTCTCAAAATTTTTTGAGAAACACAAACCAAACAAGGCCTAAATATTTAGGGTGGATGTTGCCAAAATTAATTAAAATTCATGTTAGAATTTGTTCCAATTAATCTTTTAGTGTTAGTTGTACTTCTAAACATTTTTTTTATTTATTTACGAAATATTGTTTCAATTGATCTTTTAATGGATCATTTGCACATTTAAATATCTTTGAGGGTGCAAATTGATATATAGTTGATGGTCCATCCTCTTTAATCTTTTCTGTTATCGAGCAACAATATCAAAAATGCCACCAATAGCAAACCGTGCTTGGGCGAAAATCAAACTCACAGTTAGTGATAGAAAATAAATAACTAATTCAATCAAATCTGGACCATTGTCATAATATTCTACTACACAAAATCCCTAGATTTCTATACTCGGATTTCCAGAATTTATTGGTCTTATATAAAAAAATTTAAATTCAGTCCCAAAAATCTAATATAACTAAAATTATTGTGTAAGAAGTAAATGCATGGGGGGCCAAATTTGATAAAAAAAACAGAAATATGTGCATGATTATGCAGTCGGTTCTTCTACATAGAATAGAAACCTTTTTCTGTTTGTTTAAGGGTAATTGCTTCTTGGCCATCATTCACAATTTCAATACATTGCCATCCTCACAATTATAAGACTCAACACGCTAAGAAAACTATTACATTGATTCGATAATTGACATAAGAATTTGTTAAACCAACCAAGCTTTAGCTAAGTCCGTGATTGCACACACATCAATTTCAAGTCCTCGATCGGACGGTCCAAATTACAATAAGATGACCCACCTTCACCAATGGCTTTTCTAGCTAACTCTGCCATTCGATTGGCCGAATGCACAAACTCACTTTTCCTCACCTCCATCAGATCCCTGATCATCTTCTCAACTATGACTCTATCACAAGTATCCTTGATGTCCATCCCAAGCCTCCACACCTCCCCCAACAAACCTACTAGTAACCTGCTGATCGATAAAGTAAGGCCAACATATCATTGGCACTCCGGCGATTATACTCTCCAAAGTCGAGTTCCACCCACTGTGAGTCAAAAAACTACCAATAGCCTCGTGATTGAGGACATCTTCCTGTGGAGCCCATCCCACTATGTAGCCCGTTTCCTTGGTTGTCTCCAAAGAGCTCGGTTGGGATCTGACCCTCCCCATCTCCGCCGGTGACCAAGTCGGGCCTTATGACCCACAAGAATCGCTTCCCACTGTTTACTAGTCCATGCCAGAACTCCATTAGCTGGGGCCTTGTGATGATTGTAAGGCTTCCAAAACTCACATAGATTACAGATTGTGATGGTTGTGCGTCGAGCCACGTCATGCAGCTCCGGTCTTCTTCCCATATATTGTTCGATGAGGTCGCCACCGTCACCGGTGCGTCGCTACCAGTCTTGTTTTGAGGTGCGCGTGGAGTGGTCCAATGGTGTATACGTTCGGCATCTGAGTACGTATGTGAGAGAGTATGGGTCCTTCTAGATCTTCGAATGTGTTGAGTATGACGGCTCGGCCCACTACAACAAAAGTAACCTATGGTAACGAAAACTAGTGAAGAAAATAAAATTCGTCACTAAATGAAAATAATTCGTGAGGAATTTATAAATTTTGTCACATATAATAAAAAAATAAATATTTCCTCACAAATATCTATAGTGACGAAATTAGCTCTTTGAAGACAAAAAAATTTCGTCACTCAAGGCCCAACTTGTTGTAGTGGGCTCTTGGTGTTACCCTCGGTTCAATTGATAGAAATTGTAAACCGTGGTTGCTTGAGTCACCAACACGACAAATACCAGGAAGGTCTCGCCGCCGGAGAAAAGCTTCCATGCCCGGTATGCTTTGTATTGGTACATCCAAATCATTTCCTACAAAAATCGCTAATTAAAAAAAAATGAAAAATGTATATGTTGTGCAAAGCAGATCAAGCAAACACACCTTTGAAGGGAAGCTCTCCAGATTCAATGAGTTGAGGGATGTAAAAATTGTTGGACAATCTTCACTGTATTTAAAAAGATTAAATTCTGTTGTGTACAAAATAACAACAAGAATAAAAGAAATAGAAAAAATGAGAGAATTTGTTTGATTACAAAAATCAAACTCGAAATAAAAATAAATAAATAAAACCACAGATTTTATTTTGTTACAAAAACAAAAATAAAATCTGATTAAATAAACAAATAAAAAACAGAATAAAATTAAACAACTTACTTGGTTAATTTATTTGAATAACTTTTCTGATCAAGTCCAGTGTTTAACACTGTGTCCTTAAGACAGATTCGTCATCTCCACGGTGCTTTCAGAATTTGGACGTCTATCTCCCAGGATGAAATGATCTCCCACAAACAATAGCAGCACTACAAATTGTTTGCCTTACGAACACACTAAGTGTTTATACTCTCTCTGACAAGAAAATAATGCAGCAAAATGATGAGGATGCTTGCAGAATTATGAAGGACGAAAATTAGAGTTCTTAAATCCAAATGAGGGCTGTCTTATTTATAGATGTAATAGTGGCTGTAGGTTTTGAATTGAACATTCAAACAGATTCAACAATTCAAACAGATAGCAATTACGGGAAGGGCCCTGTTTGGGTGTGCATTAATTCCAAATCAGTTTATTTCTGTTTGAAACCGGGAAGGGCCCTGTTTGGATGAACAAATAATCCAAACCAATTTAATTTGAATTATGGATTTTATTTTAATAAAAAATAAAATTAAATTCAAATGTTTTTGGCCCAAAAAGATTAGAAGCCCAACCCAACCACATACCACGCACCCGTGTCCAGCCCAGCCCGACCGGACGGCGGCGGCGGCGCGCGCGCGTGTATGGTGATTTTTGGGTCCAATGGGTCTAGCCCACTTTGCCCATAACCTCTCCCTCTAAAACACTTGGGTACCCCTTGGGGCACACCCCAAGTATCTCACCCTAAGCCTTATAAACCCTTTCAAAACTTCCCACCAAATCAATGTGGGACAAGCCAATTTACAACCTTAAGGAATTTCCACCAAAACTCCATTTCCATGGAGCACACTTTGGCTTCAATTTCTCATTCACTCGGTAATGGTTTTGAGCAACCAAATATACCACGTGAATCACAACGCGGCATAGAATGCGTTACCACTTTGACCCGAGTAAATCGATGCTCGGGGCCCACCTAAAAAAATAGACCAAACTTGAGAAAAAATTCTGGTTTTACCCAGAATTTTTCTACCATTTCCAACAAAAATAAGCCCAGAAAGCACAAGCGCTGATTGTTCTGAAGTAAATGATGGGAATACCCATCTCTTTAGCAACATCAATAGCAAAACTCAATACTCCATCTGCTATAATGCACGTTACTGGCCGATTCAACTTAGAGCTCAGACGATTAGAGTGAACAAACAAGTCTCAGAAAAGAGGTTTAACTACGGTTAAAGAATCAACCAACTCTGTTAGAAAATCACTACCGGATCTGGGGCTTTCCACCGGGAATCCATCAGAAATCGTTTGGAACCGGAATTG